GATTGGTCAGTTTTTACCATCAGTCAAGTGTAACGTCCCTCTGCAAGATGCAGGAGTGTACAAGCTTGATTGTGAATGTGGTCTCTCCTACATAGGACAAACTAAAAGATAAATTAAAACCCGCGTTAAAGAACATATAGCTGATGTGAAGAATCGACGCTCCTGGAAGTCTGCAGTCTGTGAACACGTACAGGATCGCCCCCGTCACTACATCAGATTTGATAGACCACAAATCCTCGCTAAAGAACACCGATTCCTTCCAAGGATGATTCGCGAGGCTATTGAAATCAAAAAAAAATCCTAATTTCAATAGAGAAGATGGCTGGGTGCTACCATCTGCTTGGGATCCTATAATATATAAAATTAAATCCCAACCCAAGCATACAACTGCAAGACTTCATGGTACCATAAGTTCATACTGTGTAGATCGGAACAAAAATTAAATTTTAATTTATGGTAACCGCGGCTAACTATGACATCTGGACGTTGAACATCTCAGTCCTTCCCGTGACCATGGGTGCTGTAAAGCTCTCGAAACGTCGGGTATTTAAAAAGTTAAATATACGCGATAAATTCCGTAAAAACTAGTATTATTTCAATGTGTAGTGTTCGCGTAAATATAAGAAATCATTACGGATACTGTTTTTGCAACTGTGGTTGCAAGAAGCAAACGAGCGGCTATACTAGGACACTAAACTTAGGAGGCTGCCACTTGAGAACCTTTCTCCCTTTGTTTCATATGAGTTTTTTTTTCCAGCGGTTCTCGTATCGCGGGTATGGCCCACTGTGGCATTTCCAACCTCATTAGCCTTGGAGACAATCTCATATGTAATATTCCAAACGAATGGAGTTATGAAGAGGGGGCTACAATTCCAGTTGCTTACGCTACGGCTTATATGTCTATGGTAAGTAGAAATCTACTTTTATTAGCATCGCTTCTACGTATGGAATGTTTTAATGCAATTTTCACCACCTTGTAGATGGTCGATTAACTTGAAAATTTACACCTGTATCAAGAACTGTTCGAAATATAATAATTTAATAACTTAAACCTAGTATCTTGATCGCGATTACCAGTATAAAATAAAATAAGTGTTAAGATTATCACAGCTCATTATCAATAAGTGTTTTTAAAGTTTTTTCAAGTGAAAACTTCTTTAGCGGCGTTGTACACTTTTTTGTAATGGGTAAAAAATGTTAAGCTCGCGTCAGAACACGTGACCTCATCGAAAATGCGTGAGACGGACGGCGTAGGAGAGGAAGTATCCCCCTCTCTTTCTACGGCGCGTCGAAAATGTATGCCTGCGCCTGCTGTTTCGATTAGGCGGCGCAGGGCGCTTACGCAAATGTAATATAAATTATCATGCTTGTGTACGATAGCGCAATAAATAAATATTGTATTCTACAACATAAATGATAGTACTTTTATACCGATAATTAAAGCAATTCGTGCAAAATTATTTCCTAACCATTCCAAAATATCAAAAATGCACAACAAAAAAACAACAACAAAATATTAAAGTTTTCACTTCTGCCGGCACTCCCGGAGTGCAACCCGTCATTTTTTTTAAATTTTATGTTGTTATTGACTCGCTTTCGAGTATGGCTTTTCGGGTGGAATTCAATAATATTTTCCCGATATGCTAGAGATTTTAATTTTAAACATAGCTCAGAATCAGATGACAAAGTAAGAATATGAAAAAAAATCCTTTGCTATTACCAATCTTGATAATAATAGGATTATTGTTATTATCACAAAGCGTCATGCCTGTAATTCCCAAGAAGTAGGCAGGGTCTAAAAAGCAACGAATTACCAATAAATAATAATTTTTGTCCATGTTAAAGCAAAAATAATACGGGTTTAGGTCGAACATTGTAAAAGAAATGAGAGATGGCAAGCCCACACCCTGCAAAATCACGAACTCAATATCCATTACTTGACTTTCACGAAATGGTAGGCAAATAAAACAACTGGCACGTTCTATTTGATATAAGTCCCACAAAAAATGATCTATACCTAATTTTTTTTATAGAAGAGGGGGCAAACGTGCAAGCGGCTCACCTGATGTTAAGTGACTACTGCCGCCCATGATCAACTGCAACACCAGGGGAATTGCAGGTGAGTTGCCGGACCTTTAGAAAGGAGTAAGCTCTTTTCTTGTTCCCAGGTCATATCGGTTCGGAAAAATCGCCGGTGGTAAACTATTCCACAGAGAGGTTTTACGCGGAGGAAAACTCCTTTTGAAACATACAGTGGTGAACCGCCAAGCATTCAGATGGTGTGGATGGTATCGGGACATTTGCCTCATAGTGCGTTCACGAAACTTGGCGGCTGGGATTATTCCGAACAATTCCTCAGAGCACTCTCCATGATATATGCGAAAGAATATGCAAAGAGATGCAACATCTCTTCGCAGCGCCAGTGAATCGAGCCGATAAGAAAACACTCGGTCGTCGACGATTCGAGTCGCTCTGCGCTGGATGCGGTCAAGTGGAAGGAGCTGGTACTGGGGAGCCCCAGTCCAGAGATGGGAACAGTATTTCATGTGTGGCCGAACCTGTGCCTTGTAAAGTTGCAGGCGGTGTGCCGGCATGAAATACTGTCCCGCTCTGCTGAGCACGCCAAGCTTTTTAGAGGCCAGTTTGGCCTTCTCTTCCAAGTGACCACGAAACTGCACGTTACTCGATATGTCGAGGCCGAGGATTCCGATACTGGCTGAGGTAACAAGGGAAGTGCTTGAAACTGAGGAGATACGACAAAGAGGTTCTTTTTAGTGGTTATCGCGCAAACTTGTGTCTTCTGGGGGTTAAACTGGACTAGATTTAGTCGCCCCCAATCCGAGACTCTGTTCAGCAAAGACTCGACTTCAGACATAAGTTTGTCCCGGTAGTCGGGATATGTTGCAAACCCGTAACATTCATTGCTATGCAGATGACAGCACTGGTGATGATCTTTACACCGGCCGAGCTAATATTTCTTGGGAACCCATAGGAAGGGAGCTTCAAAAGAAGCACTTTGTGCCAAACCCGATCGAAGGCCTTCGCAATGTCCAAACTAACGGCTAATGCCTCCCCCTTGGACTCTACTGCCTCCGCCCATCTATGAGTTAGGTAGACCAGAAGATCACCAGCTGACCTACCATGGCGAAAACCGTATTGGCGATCACTAATCATCTGGTGATCCTCAAGGTACCTCGTGAGCTAGCAGTTAACAATAGAAACCATTGTTTTGGAGAAGAACGAGGTGATGGCGATAGGCCGGTAGTTGAACGAGTCTGAGCGGTCGCCTTTTTTAGGGATCGGGTGGACGAAAGCCGTCTTCCATGATTTTTTTTGATTGAGTAGGAGTACCGGAAATAATTATTAATAATTCCCCGGCCAATGGATTTATGTTATTATTATTATTTCACCAGGAAAAAATACAATCGTTATACAAAAGCACAAACGATTAGTGATACTTTAGGGGAAGCGCTGACCATAACTTTCATTAACTAGCGTGAAGTACAGATTTACCTCTGAGTTTTGCTTGGTGAGTGCAGCTGTTTCGCCCAGCCCTGCTTTACTGTTCCTGTTTCATTCAGCCCTATTTCACCCCCCCCCCCCCCAGGAGTGAAATCAACTAAAATCTACCTCAGGAGGGTACCAGCACTCCTGTTGACGGAGAATCTCTCGTTGAGCATCCACGACTAACTTATCCTTCTCCTCCTGAGCGTGTTAGCGTGGGTGCTCAGACTGCCCTGCGTATTCTGGGGGGCGGGTGGGGGTATACAATTCCGCTCGCGAATTCCCCTGCCGCGCTATTCGTGAATTTTCGCAACATCAGGAGACTTCATTCCAACTTAACGCTGTACACTACCATCTGGAGACTGCGAAGCCGGCCTTGCTCTTTTTAACCGAGGCTCAGGTGTCCTCTCCAGCTGATGCTTCATATCTCTCCTACCCGGGGTACAAATTGGAACACTCCTTTGTGCCCCGGGCTGAAGTTTGCGTATAAGACAGAGAAGACCTCTGTTTACGACGACTCGACAGTCATGAAGGTACCTGTCCATCCTATGGCTGCGCGTAGACAGCGTCTACAAGTCCCTCTACAGGTCCTATAGCGGTAATGCCGAAACATACTGAATCAAAGACCGAAAAAAGGCCGGCAACGCACAACCGTGGAAACTGTAAACCATACTTCTACATCCATCTTCAAATAAGAATCAAAGTGCAAATGTGCTTTTTATAGAATAGGAGTGACAAACGAGCACACAGTTAACCCTAGCCTGGATCAAAAATCAAAATGTAGATGCTTAATCAAATGGAATGCCGCGGGCTAGTAAAAAGAGTCTCTGACTCGCTACCCACTCAACATACCAAAGACAGTATTAAATTTGCTGTTTCACGTCAGTATTTTTTGAGAGCTTGGCGCTAGCCCGATCGAGCCGACTTATTTGTATATAATAAACGTTAAAATTTTGTGAAAGAATCCTTTTTCTAGTTTGTGGATAAGCTATAAATATTTTTATATCTTATTAGTCATAGAACGCATTGCAAACGAAAAGTAGACCTTGGTAAAGATGATATCAAAGTACAGCAAGTGATAGCTTACAGTGTCTAGCCTACTCTCATTTATAAGGTGGCTATGGAACAGTCAGCCGTTTAACGACTCCATGGCGCAGTGGCTTAGCAATGAAATACAGCGCTAATAGCCGCGGGCTCAAATTCTGTACGGAACGACTATTTGTATGGCCTACAAATAATAACTATGTGTCTGGATGTTTGACCTTGTGAAATTTATGTATGTAAACTGCCCCCAAAATATAGGAAAAAATCGTAGTGTGGATTTTTTAAATAAATTTAATAAAAAACGATTTAAGTCGATTAAAAGCCGCTCTGCAACATTTCGTGTTGGCGTGGTTCATTCTGTCGAAATATTTTTTATTTTTAGACGTGAAAAGTTCCTTATGATGCTTTTATTACCGTCAATTACCTGGTGCAAAAATTAAATTAAATTTTAGGTGCTAGTTGGAAAAATAAAACCCGGAGAATCAATTCTAATACACGCTGGAACAGGAGGCGTAGGACAGGCGGCTATTAACTTAGCGTTCCATATTGGATGTGAAGTTTTCACTACGGTTGGCACTCCTGCTAAAAGAGATTTCATCAAAAGGCTATTCCCGCAGCTGAAAGGTAAAATTTAAATCAATTATTGTCATGAACGCATCCGTTCATTATCATCATCATCATTACAGACCTTCACAAGTCTACTGCTGAACATAGGTCTCCTCGACGGAATTCACAAGGCAAGGTCTTGAGCCACTTGCATAGACATCGACTTCCTGCATGTCTTACCAGGTCGTTAATCTATCTAGTAGGCATCCGTTCATAACGGAACAGTTATCATTTATAATAACACCCCTTTTCTCTGCTCTGTTTTGAATGACCAACGATTACAACAGTCGATAAAATATAGAAGATTTACCAACGGCTTCAATTTATTATAATGACCATCCAAGTAGAAACATCTCGTCCTTCAAGCCAGATATAATTTAGATAGATAGAAGATGCCACCACGTAGTGGTGTGGAGTGGGTAACAGTTTTTCAAGAATGTCTAGTATACTATAATCAACCAGTGTGTAGTGGTGGTGGAAGAATACTTATTGCCTTATATCATCCCGTGTTTGTGTTAAGATTCAAAAGACGTAATGAAAAAGGAGATGGGCAGCAGCATCTTCCTGATGACAGCTCAAAATGATAGAATAAAATAATTTTTATTCATGTAGATTATTATATAATACTAATTGAAAGTATTTTTTTATTTTGCACTATTACGGGAAATACCTCTGACCTGGGAAGAACCAGCTAGAAACCCAACGCGACTTTTTTAAATATATTTCACCTTACAATTACTTTTTGATTTTAATAGAACCATCATGGTGGCGATCACAAAATAACCCTTTTTGAACATTTGTTCTTTAATAAAACATTTAAACTTGTTCATTGACAAATTTCGTACATTTTCTGGTATTTTGTTGTTAAATCATATACATTAACCCATAAATTAATTGCTAATTCTGTGGAGTCTTGTAACTATTATTACAAGCTTATCTTGGTTCCAAGTGCTTAAAGTACTAATATCTTTATTCTCATCGAAGCTGTTTGTAAATACATTACATTTTCATAAATATATTGTAATGCCAAGGTTAATATATTTATTTCTTTAAAATTTTCTCGAAGGAACTCTTTACAATTTAGTTAGTCATACGGCCATCGTACGGGCGTACGGTTATCTTTTGGAAAAAAAAAATATGGCTACCCCATACCAAAATAACTAAAACTATAATAAAATAAACTAATCTAGCTATCTCAACATTGGTGAGATTTCAAATCATTCTTACAGTATATGCTGCAGAACTAAGTATGCCTGGTTATTTAGATATACGGAGTCCCATTAAAGCTGCGCTTCAATAGTAATACCAAGAAAAATAGTGATATCCACAAGACTCAACTCTTCCACATTTAAGGGCACATTGGTTTTTTAATGTTTAACATGATGTATAGTGAATTTAATACATTTTGTCTTATTGCCATTTAAGAGCAAATTATTAGCGGTAAACCAATGTACTAATTTCGATAGAGTATTATTTACATTGTCAAAATTAATTGATTGTCGATTGAGTTTAAAAGTAAAAAAGGTATCATCAGCAAATAATAATATATTGTGATTATCCCATACAAGATAAGGTATGTTATTAATATAGACTAAGAACAGGAATGAGCCAAGTATCGAGCCCTTAGGAACGCCTTTATACTACCTTACTTACGAATTTTTGAGTTCTGTTATTTTAATATGAAATAATAAGTCTAAGCGAAATATTTTTTGACACCGTAATGTTGTAGTTTCCTGATTAATATCTCATGAGAATACAATTGAAAGCCTTGAAAAGACCACAAAAAATACCTAAGCCATCTTGTGAATTTCCTCAGATATTAAAAACATATTTCATAAGCTCAATACCTGCATCAGTCGTCGGGCGATCCCAAATTGATTTTTATCCATAACCAAATTGATTTTTATGGAGTTATTTATTTTTATTACAAGATTTGACAATTGATGTAAAACAAATTTAAAACTTTTTACTGAGAGTTGGTAGTACAGAAATAGGTCTAAAATTAGCAGGGTCAAATGTTCTACCAGATTTAAATAAAGGTATTACTTTACACAATCCTTCACTGCTGACCGTATGAGAATGCTCAAAGTCGCTCAGCGAGCTATGGAAAGGGTTATGCTCGGGGTTTCTCTGCATGATAAACTTAGAAATGAGGATATCCACAGTAGAACTAGAGTGACCGACATAGCCCAACTAAACAACAGCTGAAGTGGCAATGGGCCGGCCATATAGCTCGAAGAACCCACAACCGTTGAGGAAAAAAAGGTTCTCGAGTGGCAGCTTTGTACTGGTAGGTGAAATGTAGGGCGACTCCCCACTAGATGAGTGACGACCTGGTAAAACATGCAGAAAGTCAATGGATGCAGGTGGCCCAGGGCCGTGCTTTGTGGCGTACCCTGGGGGAAGGCCTATGTTCAGCAGCGGACTTGTTAAGGGCTGTAATGATGATGATGATGATGATTACTTTACACAAACACACCAGATTCGATACTAGTAATAAAAGTAGTAGGAAGACGAGGTGCAATTAATTATATTACGGAGGCAATAATTGAAACGGAAATCCCCCATAAGTCTGCTGTTTTCTTTATATCAAGGGTTTTGAAATATTTTACAATATATTGTAGTAATACTTTTTCAAATCTAAATTCTTTTAAACATTTGTATTACCATTTTATTTGAGCATTGAGTAATAAAAATACCACGGTTGTGATTCCGCCTGTCAGGGGTAGCAAATATAGCTAACGGGATATTATTCTATTAATCTGGGGAGGCCTGTCTATAGCAATAAATTTTGATATGTTGTAATGAATAAATAAATGTAAAACCGGTCAATTGTGAGTCGGACTCGCGCATGAAGGGTTCCATGTGTAAAACCTTCCATTTTAATTAAATTTTATTTTTATTATACTGGAGACAGAAATATAAATTCTGTGAAAATTATAACGCTCTGTCCATTATGGATCATGAGATACAGCCCACTGACGGACAGACTGACGGACAGAGGAGGCTTAGTAATAGGGTCCCATTGGTAAACCTTCGGGGACGGTTCCCTAACAAGTAGAAAGATCTTCTTCATTATTATAAACCAAATATCTAGTTACTTTACATGTTTCCTTAACTTATTGCTGTAATTATTTTCATGCTGTGTATTTTCTTAATTTGTTATGCAATCAAATTGCGAGAAAACTATGATTGCAAAGATATTTAATTAACTGCCTGTTAAATTTTATTAATAATTATTAATGTATTGACTAAATTCTCAACTTATTCCAAATTACTTCTATCGTTATAGCTTATCATAAAACCACTGCTGGTCATAGTGGGAATAAGTAATGATATTTGTCATAGTTGGCTTTGACGCATGGCGGGCAAGTTGACAACCACAACTTATTCTTTTTTTTAAATATTAGTAATCTTATAACTTAACGTTACTAATATTCCTTTTAACCACTCCTCGTAAGCTTGAAACACTTGTGTTAGGAGTGGTTCACGACAGTAGTAAAATGGCGGATTCAAACCCACGACCTTTTGAGTTATCGATCCGCGCCCTGCCATTGGGCTACTATCTTTGGTAGCTTTTATTTCTTTTGTTGTTATCAGGAAGGCGCTGCCCACCTCCTGGCCTCGTTTGCGGTTCCAGCTTTAAGCTGTTATTTTACGCTTACGTCATTTGAAAGTTATACATTTTAAAGTTATACCTTTATTCAAACCTGGTAGTACATTAGACCCCGCCAATTTTAAACCAATGTCTGTACCACCAACTTTAAGTAAAAATTTTTTTTTAAATATTTTACATCAGATGTTAAGTTTTTTTTAATATAAATAAATTACTTCATTCAAGTCAATTTGGTTTTATTAGAGGTCGCTCGACAACCGACGCCGGAGTTGAGCTTATAAAACATATTTTTTGTGCGTGGCAGAAGTCAGAGGATGCTTTGGGTATATTTTGTGGCCTCTCCAATACCTTCGACTCTGTTCACCATGAGACATTAATTAGAAAGCTACAGTATTAGGTGTCAGGAACACAACGTTTAAACTAGGTATTTCGTATTTAAGTAATAAAATGCAGAAAGTTATTATCAATGGTAAAAGTTCATCCGGATAGACACCACATACACTAATGATGATAATATTTTTAACGCAGATAGTCACATTGGTAATTCACGAGATATTTCCTTCGAAGAAATGGTACGAAGGGAAACCAATGGCAAGGGCGTGGACTTAGTGCTGAATTCGTTGGCGGAAGAAAAACTATTGGTAAGGCATTTTAATATGTATATATGATAAAGCTCTTCGACACTAATTACTAGTTTTAAAACCAACAACTTTTGTTTTGCGACTGTCTTTAACATCTCAATACTTTTCCAAAAAATCCACGTTCTACCTTTTTTGAAATTTTTTCATAATATTCACTACTCTACAACTTTTTTACTTTCTCTTTTTTATTTATTGAAAGTGTTATCTCCACGTAAGGATTTTTTTCCGTAACGAGGAGGCAGTTTACATAAATAAATTGTTCAAGGACAAACATCCAGAACCAGAATTCCGTACGGCACTCGAACCCGCGGCAAATCGATGCTAAATCATTGCGCCACGGAGGCGTCGTACTCCTTGACGTACTCCGCGCGATGTTTACATGATGTATAATATACAGAGTAATAAATTTGATATTACTCTGTATTTTAAACATGTTGTAATGTGATTATTTTTATTTTATACAGATATAAAATTTTATTAGCGAATTTTCAAAAGTTGAAAATCTAAAGCCGTTGGTTTTTTTATAGGCATTACGGTAGCTTTGTGAGCTGTAAGCTATACTTATAGGTATATTTTGTTCAATATACTTGACTTGTTGGTATGAGCGAAAACAGGATTATTATTTGCTTCTTTTTTGTTCAGGCATCAGTCCGTTGTCTTGGTTATCGAGGTCGTTTCTTGGAAATTGGAAAATTTGATATAAGCAAGAACACGCAGGTCGATATGCACGCATATCATCAAGAGATCTCCTTCCACGGGATTATGCTTGATTACATTCTTGACAAGGAAAACTACAGTTTGAGACAGGTAGTTTAAATGTTATGTTAACTTTCACTTTATTTGTATGACATTAAGACATTTTCGTATCTCTGACTAGGTTAATCTTCGAAAGGGCTCTACCAATTGTAATAAAACTTAGATAGAGAATAATGTTGGGCGTAATCTAGGCTATATTTTATACAGAAAGCTTGTATTTTTTTTTTGAAAAAAAAAACGGAAAATACAAAATCAATGTTCTTCAGTTATCTTGAATCTAAATAACGCCATATCAGTATATCCTACTCAGGCTTAGCTAAGGTGGGTCGATAGTATGAATTAACATAAGCTCGACAACAAATAAAAAAATATAAAAATATTTACACGAATCTATTACTAATTATTTTTAAGCTACCTTTAATCAATAACCACAGTTTTTTTTTTAAGGAATTACAAAAACTTATCGCGCTCGGAATTCAATCTGGAGCCGTGCGACCGCTTACATTCTGTACATTCGAAAAACATGAGATAGAATCTGCTTACAGATACATGGCCGCTGGAAAACACATTGGCAAGGTATGCTAAAGTAAGGTTTTTCTTTTCAGCCTTCTCAATCTTTAACAGCTTTTTTTCGTAGGAACTTACAATCCTGATGGTATGTGTGATAAAGTAGATAGCTGCTGCTAATTTCGAGTTCGTGACACTCAGTGCCGCAAATCAATCCGAATCTACTGCGCCAAGAAGCCGAAAAAGAGGAAGAAAATAATTTAACAAGAGGTGCTTTAGACACATCATCTAATTCTTCCTCGTTTTTATAATGGCTCTTACATCGGGTTTCAGAAAATTAAAGAAGTGAAGGCGGTTCTGAAACTACAAACGCGAAGCACGGAAAAACTAATATTATATTACACATTTCAGGTTATAATCAAAATTCGTGATGAAGATTCGAAAAATGTTATCAAACCCACTCCAGTTCTTATTGATGCGCTACCAAGGTATGAAAAATATATCCTTTTAAATTAGAATTTGAACGTCACTATAACATAATAAACTATGTGTGTGCCTTTATTTTTAGTTCGAAGCAATCTTCGTTCTTTATAGCTTTAGTGAACTTCATTATCATTACAGCCCTTCACAAGTACACTGCTGAACATAGGTCTTCTCCAAGGAATGCCACAAAGCATGGTGAGCCTGAGCCATGTGTTTCCATAGACTTCCTGCTTATCTCCAGGTCGTCCATCTAGTGGATGATGTAAACTATGGAATTAGTAAGCTGAAGAGGCTATGGAACGGCCATATATCTCAAAACACCGACAGCTGACGGGGAACAAGAAAAAAGGTTCTCGAGTGGCAGCTTCGTACCGGTAAGTAAGAAGTGTAGTGCGTCCCTTTTCTATATGGATTGACGACCTGGTAAGATATGCAGAAAGTCGATGGCTGCAGGTGACTCAGGATCGTGCTTTGTGGTATTTCTTGAGAGGACCTATATTTAGCAGTGAACTTGTGAAGGGCTGTAATGATGAGGATGATAACCGATTATTTTTAAAGCTTGAATATTTTTTTCCCTAGGTATATGTGCAGAGGCGATCGTGTTTACATAGTGATCGGAGGACTTGGTGGATTCGGTCTTGAACTTGTAGACTGGCTCATTATGAGAGGTGCAAGGAAAGTCCTCCTCGGGTCTAGTAGGGGTGTAAGCAATGGATACCAAACGTTAAGATTAAGGTGAGTAACAATTAAATTTCTCTTGATTTCATTATAATTGAGAAACCACAGCACGCGGTGGTGTCTAAAGAGAAGAGAACTTATTGCCCAATTTCCTCCCGGGGTTTGTTAAAGTGATTTTTTATGAGAGAAACAAGAAAAAATATTTCGAAGAACTCTGGCAAGTTACCTCACGATGTTTTCCTTCACTGCCGAACACGTGAGGATTGAACCCGGGTTACTCGCTCACTGTGTTACAGCGAGCCCTAAGCTCTTAAGCTACTACAGCTCTCCTGAGCCATCACGGCTCTATGCCTTATATGGTGTTACGTAAATAAATTAAAGACTGGTAACAGGGAGCAGCATCAAAGGAGGAAGATATCTGATGGTTTTTAAGCGGACGATGAAGAAGAAGCATTTCCGCTACAGCCTATCAAAAGTCCAGTGATGAACATAGGCTTCCCCATAGATCTTCATCAGGAGGATATTTTCCATAGTTTCTACTCTTGGTACGCGGGTTCCAAACACATTTTTTTTAATTTAGTCATTATTAGGAAAACACTACTAGCAATCCACTGGTTTGTTTACCTCTATCGCCTCTCACAACATTCGTGGTACGATATGGGGTAGTAAATATTCTTACACCGCCACTGCACCGTTGAAGAAGATATACCAAATGAAATATTTCTAGTTGAAAGTTTATTATTGTCGTGAGAATCTCAGTTTGCTCACGTACTGGCTCAAGATTTGTACTTTTTTTAATTTGTTCGAAAGTAACAATTATCCTCAAATGGTAATTTCCTTAGGTTATGGTCACAATACGGGGCTGATATCAAAATCTCGACCCATGATATTGCGACGGAATCTGGATGTGTAGAAATGCTAAATATGGCGAAGTCAATGGGACCTGTAGAAGCAATATTCAATCTTGCTGCGGTGCTTAGAGATGCCACTTTCGTCCGACAGACTCCGGAGACATTTAAAACTTCATTTAAACCGAAAGCTCTAGCTACGATGCTTCTAGATACGCTTTCGCGGAAATTGTGCCCCGAATTACAGTAAGTGCTCAGATATTTTATTTCGTAAATACTCGTAGTGTGTTAACAGCGAAAAATCGTGCTCAGTGATCATTCGTTATTTATTATTTTAAAGAAAACTTTTTAACTTCACAAAAATTGTAAACATTAGTTTTGGGTTGTGATGAAATATTATTTTAGTAATTACGAGTATTTTCATTAGAAATTGTTTTTTCGTACTAATTTAGTAAAATTCTTATTTATTGCGCTGTTTTTCTTGAAGAAGAATGGTTATTTAACGATTTCTTACATTTACGCGATCACTACACATCGATTTAAACTAATTTTACGGATTTTACTAAACTAAACGTGATAAAATCCATAAAAGTAGCTTTATAAAATATATATCGTTCACGTAAATATATTAAATCATTATGTAAACCAGTACGGGCTGGAAATAGCAAACATATAAATTAAACGAGATAAAATCCGTAAAAGTAGTTTTAATCAAGTATGATTATTATCTATATAATACAAATAAATTTATACATACATATCAAATTTACAAAATTTAATCAATTGGATTTTTAACATTACCTTTATAAATTTTATATATCCGAGCTTGACGGTCACGCGAGTTCAGTACTTTTTCCACACCCCAAAAGTGCCAAAGGTACCTTAAGAAGTTTTAATTCAAAAGTTGTTGCTTCGAAAATTTCCTTTAGAAAGATAGTAAATAGGAAGCGACAGTAGCCTAATGCCAGGGTGCAGGAATTCAAAAGGTAACGGGTTCGAATCCGTTATTCTGCTACTATCTTGAACCATGATATTGCAACTAAGACAAGCATTTTAAGCTTACTTGGAGTAGTTTAAGAGAATATTAGAATTAATGCTAATAGAATTGCTAATATTTTTATAAAAAAAAGATATCTTAATTGAAAATGCTAAAGTTGTAACAATGAAAAAAAATTATGAACTACAAACAGTGACCTTATCGATTTAAGCACTTTCTGCCTCACAAAACGAACATCAAAGAAAATTGTAATTTATAATACCTTATTAATATTTTATTTTATTTTAGTGGAAACTATTATGGCTGTAATTAGATAGACGAAATGTACGGAATGCATAATGTCAGCCGTCAGGCTGTTATTTTATTTAAAGTACCAAATAATAAGTACCTAATTTCAGCCACGTAGTATAAAATTAATAATAAATATCTAATTAATTATCCATTCTATAATGACGTCATTTCTAGTGATAAAGGACTTACCCCTCTATCCTTAGCCAACGAGCAATGGCAGGGCCCGGCAGTGCAGAGCATTTCCTACCGGGAGACCGTATGGAAGGAGAAGAAACTCCACGGGAGGTACTACAGGGCTCTACATGAGCCCCACGTAGATACAGCCGCCTCCCTCAACTGGCTACGTTTCGGTGACCTCTTCGGGGAAACCGAGGGTTTTGTCTGTGCAATACAGGATCAGGTTATTAAGACCAACAACTATCGGAGATACATCCTAAAGGATGGCACTGTCGACGTCTGTCGAGCTTGACGCCATCCCGGGGAGTCACTTAGGCATGTCATCTCCAGTTGTTCGGCGCTTTCTAACTCTGAGTACTTGCACAGGCACAACCTAGTGTAACCCAGAATTCTACACCAGGGGCTCGCTCTGAAATACGGTCTCGTGGACCGGAAATTGCCGTGTTACAAGTACTTGCCGGAAGCCGTGCTCAAAAATGACCGCGCCAGGCTCTACTGGGACCGGGCCATCTTCACGAACAGGACTATTCTTGCGAATAAGCCTGATATTGTGCTGATGGACCTGGCATAGTCAAGAATATTTTTGGTCGACATTACCATTCCGTATGACGAAAACCTCGTAAAAGCCGAAACAGATAAACGAACAAAATATGTGGACCTGGCTCACGAGGTGACTGACATGTTGGGTGGTATGCCAGTCGAAATTATTCCTGTAGTCGTCTCTGCGAATGGGCTAATCCCAGTCAGCCTCTCGGGTCATCTGAGGCGACTCCGTGACGGACCGCTCCGGGCTCAAATGCAGAAGGCGGTGCTCCTCGATACCGCCCGCATCGTCCGCCGGTTTCTTTCCCTTTCCTCCTAACCCTCGGCCGTTTGGTCTCCCCTGCCGAGGGATTCCATCTGGTTGGGCTTTTATTTATTTATGTATTTTTGTATTTATTTTATTTTATTGATGTATCTTTTCATTTTAATTTATAATTATATATTTATAGAACCCAACCAGATGAGAAAACCATATAGATACCCCACATAATATTATTAGTAAGAACATAACTTAGTTCAAACTCAAGGAAGTTACAATCAAATTGTCTATGTTTTTAATTTAAAATTTAGCTAAAGGTGTATATCTGGCTGTGCTATCAGACATTTGATATTTATTAAGAACCCCTTATGTTTTTATTATTTTTTGATAATGCAAAAGACATATATTAACGAACGAACATAATAATTAACTATAACTTTGTAGTATTAATTATAACTTAGTACATAAATGAAAAACTCGTGACACCCAAAGTGGCTCAAGATCGTGCTTTGCGGCAATCTATGCAGAAGGATGTTCAGTAGTGGACTTGTGATGGGCCGAAATGATGATGATGATGATGATTTGAAAATTTGGATAACTAATTTATAAGAAAACAATCTGCTAAATATTTTTATGATAATTTGTTTTAATTGATTGTCTAGTAATAAAATAAAAATAGGCCTGCTTAAAACGAAAATAATATTTACAGTAAGTTCATAGTAGAACATTTTTTTATAGTTGTCTGTTATTTCATAATATTTATGCTTAAATTTAGAAGTTGTTAGGAATTTTTTACCGTCCCCCTAAAATTCACCTATAGAAGATACCTAACAAAAACTCAATATTAACATAATCGTATGGTAGCTAGGCTGGCATTAAGTGCATAAAATGATGACATTCGTTACAGGGTGGCTGGAATTCAAGCCATCACGCCTGTTTTTGCTTATTGTTGTTTTCAATTCAGTGTTAGATTGTCGAAAGAGAGTACGGAGCATCAACTGCAATTTAGCGCGCAATATATAAGTACCGTTTTGTCCGTCTAGCAGTGAACATTCAGGTCTTTGGGTATTAGCCGTTCGGGCTCGCTGTATATTACTGTATACAATATCTATGGGCCCACTGAAAACTAGAGTTTGTTTTTTGAGAACAGCCGAAGCTTAGTACTTCTCCGTTTGCCTAACGTTTCACAAAACACGCGGGAATGTATTTAAACGTAATTTGTAAATAAAAATACTATCGTTATATTATTATGTTATATCTGTTCTAGTTTTTTTTTATAGATATAGGGTGACAAAAGAGCACATAGTCCACCTGATAGTAAGTGGATCCTGTGGCCCATAGATATCTAGATTTAACCTCGATTAAGAATCAAAATACAGATACAGCGTTGTCACCACTGAGGATAAGATGAAATGCCTCGATTCCAGTAAAACAGGGTCTCCAGTTGTTGATGTTTTTTTTTTTAAATTTTGTTATAATTATACAGATTGATGTTTTATAAATATTTATATGCAATTGCTTAACTGTCTGTGTGGTGGGTTTGTTATAAAGGTGACTTTCTTTTTCTTCCTGAATTTTTTTCCTTTTTATTTATTTCTTTACTTTCTGGCTTTCTTTTCTTCTTCTCTTCTCTTCTCACTCACTTCATTTCTTTCTTTCTTTATTATCTAATCCTTTCTTTATTTATTTATTACTTTTTCTTTATTTTATTTTTTTTGCTCCTTTGTGGTCGATAATTGAAACTACACGACTAGTCCATGCCACTTCAGTTTACTAATCAATGAACAATGTTTTCGCAGAACATTCGTGGTATTTTCATCGTTAGCATGTGGCCGCGGTAATGCTGGTCAGACAAACTACGGCTTTTCAAACTCAGTAATGGAGAAGATCTGTGAGAAGAGGAGGCAAGATGGCTTACACGCGCTCGCTGTACAATGGGGAGCTATAGGAGATGTAGGTTTATTTTAAATATAGAATAAGAGTGCTAATTGAGTACACATTCTGCCTGATGGTAAACAAAATGTGGCCTAAAGACATTTACTCTTATATCTATTCTCGATTAAGAATCAAAATGCGCATTCTTTGTCATCCAACCCGAAAATGGAACACCTCGTTTATGAAAAAAAAGGCTGTACCACGTAAACGAAGTTTTGTAACAATTCAACGTAATAATAAATATGGCAATGGCTCATCATGATTCACTATAGATCGCTCCAAATTTTTGATCACCCTTTTTTAAGTACATCATAGAATATTCTTCAGTTACCTATAAGTGTGTTATCACTTTTCCTTCTGTTTATACTATTTCGTGTAATATTAATTTATAAAAGGTGAAATTTTAAAGAATTACGTTTTTTTATACTACGTTTTATTCATATTCTTACACTGTAATTCAATTTAGTGCTAAGTTAATATTTCGAATCTTTAACTCATCAGGAAGTTAGTTTAAAATCAATTTAAAATCAAACTTGTCCCGAACAGAGACGAAAGAGAGTTAATAAAAGCGTGGTAAAATGATAATAAAGAGAATACCCAGAGAGTTTATTTCGTACTATCTTCGGAGAGAACTTCATTATGAAAGAATGGTACTTAAACAAAATACATTTGATTAACTAAATTTTAAATTCTTACGTCAAAGAAATTAAAGTAATAAAATGAAAGAACTTTCCATTTTCATAACTTTAACTAACCGTAAACATAAAAGATAAGACAAAAGTCCACGGTGTCACAGAATACCAGCATAAAATAACATTAATGTTGCTGTGTCCTGTGTAGAGAACCGGACACCTCTTTTACTGGAAATGAGGCATTCCGTCTTAGTTCTCAGAGGAAGTACGCAGCTGCATTTTGCTTTTTACTCGAGGATAGATGTAGAAGTCTATGGGCCATAGCATACGCTGACCTCTAAAATGGTCTGAATTTTCTAAAACAGTATATTCAAATTATATGACATTATCTGTTTATAGAATTAAAGCTCTACATAGTATAAAACAATGTCGCTTCAAGCCATCCATACGCTTAAATCTTTGAAACTATGCAACGAATTTAAATGAGGTTAATAGACAGTATGATTCAAGAGGAATGTTTATATTATATATACATGTATATTATATGTTATACACAATATATCACAAGTAGCTATCAAACTTAGTTCTGCAGCATATGTTGTAAAAAATATTAGAACTCTTTCCAGTGTTGAAACAGCTAGAATAGTTTACTTTAGTTATTTCCACAGCATTATGTCGTTGGTAAATTTCAGTATTAGTCGCGTGTCCCCATAGCAAAATCTATAGGGACACGCGACTGATACTGAAATTATATTTATTTTACAGAAGAGGGCCAATAGAGCAATATATAATTTAAAACCAAAAGAGTCACTGAGACAAAAATTTAAGGAAATTTAATATTTAACGCTGATTTCTGCATACATTTATACGTACACAAAAATAAAAGTAGTTCCGCAAAAATAAGTGATATTCATTCTGTAAATACTAGAAACAGACACAAGCTAGTAGTACCAGTTACTCGATTCCACCGAGTCAGTAATTCATTTTTGAAATTAAGAATACGCTTTTACAACAAAGTTCCAGAAAATATACAATATTTGTCATACACAAAGTTCAAAAATGTCATTAAACTAAGTTTGTATATAAAGGGTTATTATAATATTAAGAAATTTATGGATGATAATACCCCTGGGAAGGGTGATCACTACCAAGCTATTTATAAGTAAGCTATTATTGGAATAAAAATAATCCCGCTGGATTTCTTGCTGGTTCTTCCCAGGACAGAGGTTTTTTTTTTGCGAACCAGTGGTAAATGAAAAAAGTGACTTTCAATAAGTATTGATAACAATATTATAACCTAATCTACATTGAATAAAAAAGTTTCTGTTTCTAATTCTGTTTCTATATAACTCTTTGGTCCCTGTGTATGTGACTGAACTCCTACTGGATGGACCGATTTTAATAAAATTTCATGTACGTGATTAAGTTGATTAGAGAATGGTTAAAATTCACAATTGGACCCGGTAGGTGTCGTTGTTGTTGAAATCCAAAAATCAACCATGGGAATCCGGGGCGGATCGCTAGTAATCTAGAAAACTACTAGAGTACTTTGAACCATCTCAAATTAGGAGTAGAATTTATAAAATTTACTTTTTTAATATGTTGCGTAGGGGCGATATAAAACCATCTATCAATAGCTTTGTCCAATGGATGTTGTTAGAAACGACTATGGGAAATGTCATAAAATCGTATTTTTGTTTACTTCATAGTACTTAATAATACTTAATAAAAGGTGGTATTATTGTCTCGTATCCGCTAGACGTAAATTACAGAGCGTCGACGAGTAGTAGCGTAAGCTACGAGTTATGACATATCTGGTACTGCAGTCGATAATGCACATGCCAAGCGTGATCATTAAGGAAAATCCTACATAAAAATCTACGTGGAAAGAGAACCACGTTTGACAACTGACTTTTACTGGCTGATAAAGGAGAAGGAGAGAAAGAGGAAAGTTCTATATAACTATTTTTAACAATCTCAAACTTAATGTAGAATTTAAGGTCAACTCACACGTACCACAACCACATCACATCGTAGCAACAAAATGTGTTCACATGTGAATATTGTCGCTGCAGCTTTTTGCAGTTGCGTTGTTGTTATGCGAGAAAATTTCGATGTGGTTGCGTTGTGTTTTTTGCGATGTGGCTGACCGCTAGTTCCGTGTGCATTATTTAAAAAAAAAAAAAATAAAAAACAAAAAAAAAAAAAAAAAAAAAAAAAAAAAAAAAAAAAAAAAAAGGGAAAAAAACGATTATTTTTGGTTTAAAAAAAAACCACAATTATAACAATTTTTTTTTAACCCCAAAGCAAAAAACCAACAAAAAAAAAAAAAAACACAAAAAAAAAAAAAAAAAATCAAACCAAACACCTTTTAAATAAAATAAAACCAAACCTTAATAATTTTTTTTTTATTAAAAAAAAAAAAAAAAAAAAAAAGCTTTTTTTTCCTCCAAAAAAACATGTACCATCAGCCTTTTTTATTTTTACTTTTTTGCTTTTAGGTGGGTTTAGTAGCAGATATGCAGGATGCCAACCTTTTGTACGAAATAGGTGGTACTTTACTGCAACCAATTAACTCATGTCTGCAGACATTAGACAAGTTCCTGAAGCAAGACGACGCAATCGTTTCATCATTTGTCATTGCGGAGAAAAAGGTTGGCGGCACTGAAAATAAGACGGTAGTGGACGCCGTTGCTCAAATAATGGGTATGTTTAGCTTTATGTGTGTAAAATTTTAAAAACGGTTTTGCTGTCCAAATGAAAAAGTAAAAATACAATAGTTCAGTGGCGGTTAAGGAACATCCACAACCCCATATTATTCCCTGGTTGACGGGAGATTCAAATCAGGAAATGGGCAGCATTGACCTCCTAATAGCGACTTAAAATAAAAACTGCGATTGCCAACACGCTTGTTGTGTGTGACAACTATGGCAATTGTGCCTTTAGTGGTTTTATGCCTATGTTCAACAATGGAATGTTATAGGATATAATAAAATTATACGATTGGTAATTAAAACATTTGTAAAAATATTGTGTTTTATCTACGTATTATGTGCGTTAGTACGTATTCAGGAGACTATCTTGGTGTCAGCGTCAGTTGAAGTGTACGAGCGTTTTGCCTAACTATCCAAATATTTTTTGATTTTTTTATTAAATACCATTAAAGTTGCAGCTAAATTAAATGTTATTATAGTGTTGACGAGTTTCTAAATGCTAATGCCACTATATAACATTCAATATTTTAAAATTTTTGATGATATTTTATAAATAATCGGTATTTTTTGACACATATAGTTATTATTATTTTGTGATATTTTTATATTTTATTTATAGTGATGGATTGTAGTTTTTGGTGTAATTTTTATATAATTTTAATTCCATATTTTTATTTTTGTTTTATATAATTGTAAATTTGGTTGTAAAGCATTTCAATTGTATTTTTGCACGAATTATTCAACACAATTTGTATTGTTCAGAATAAATAAACAGATAAATATTAAAGTCTATTGCAGAACATTGGTCTCTCCTATAGATTGCCTCTTAGGGGGAATATTTGACATAATTGGAATAACAACATCAGGTTTTTATTTTTAGTTTTATTAGGAAGACGCTGCTGCTCATCTCCTGTTTCGTTCCTCTATGCCGCCTCTTACGACACAAACGGGATGATATGGGATAGCGGATGTTCTTAAACCGCTACTAAACGGTGGTTTTAATTATAATTTTTTTAATAGGATTAAAGAACCTTAAGTCCGTGTCATATCAAGCATCGCTGGCAGAGTTGGGTATGGACAGCATGATTTCGATTGAAATAAAACAAACACTGGAAAGAGAATTCGAGATCTTCTTAACCGCACAGGATATAAGAGCACTGACTTTTGCCAGGTAAAATAATTCAACGTAAATGTTATGGTTAATTTTAGTATAAAAAATTAACTTAGTGTAAGCCAGCTATACTAAGGTTTTGTTTTATTCGTAGTTGAATACTCGAAATTATGTTCACTTGTAATTGACTTTTTAACCTTTTACCTAAAAACTTGTACATTATAATAAACGAAGTCTGGCTCTACTGTCCAATAAAAAAATTATAATGAATATTAAAGATGTTAAAAATTACTTACCTAAGATCCGCGTCACAAAATAAAATGATGTGTACCGAATTTGTAGAGCACCTCCCGCCGTCCTTCAGTTGCGTGTACTATAGCTGTTACTACACTATGAAAGACCGTCAATAATACGACATTCGTTTCCGGTGCAATATGTGCCGCGTTGGCTGACCTCCAGTGGACAGCTAGAGTCCCTTTTACGTAGAATTATCGACGATGGTTTGTCTTTATTTTTATTATGTGCGAGCAGCTATGCAGGTCTAGGAAAAGAGACCAGTATCACTGCGACCTATTATTATTATTATAAAATCAAAAAGTTGGGGTATCTGTATAGTTTTCTCATCTGGTTGGTTTATATAAATATATAATTATAAATTAAAATGAAAAGATAAATATACATAAATATCAATAAAATAAAATGAATACAAAAAATACACAAATAAATAAAAGCCCAACCAGATGGAAGCCCTCGGCAGGGGGAGACCAAACGGCCGAGGGTTAGGAGGAAAGGGAAAGAAACCGGCGGACGATGCGGGCGGTATCGAGGAGCACCGCCTTCTGCATTTGAGCCCGGAGCGGTCCGTCACGGAGTCCCAGTCGCCTCAGATGACCCGAGAGGCTGACTGGGATTAGCCCATTCGCAGAGACGACTACAGGAATAATTTCGGCCGGCAGACCACCCCACATATCGGTCACCTCGTGAGCCAGGTCGAGATATTTTGTTCGTTTATCTGTTTCGGCTTTCACGAGGTTCTCGTCATACGGAATGGTAATGTCGACCAAAAATATCCTTGACTGTGCCCGGTCCATCAGCACAATATCAGGCTTATTCGCAAGAATAGTCCTGTCTGTGATGATGGCCCGGTCCCAGTAGAACCTAGCGCGGTCATGTTCGAGCACGGCTTCCGGTAAGTACTTGTAATACTATTTACTATTTACTTATTATTATTATTAAGATTTATTATTATTATTAAGATCTATTGTGATTGCTGCTACGGGTATAATTCACGGCTAAGCCCTATGTCTTCAAGGAATAGAAGGAGTTGCTTAGTTTCTGGGCGGAGTACATAGATTCCCAGATGAGTGTTACGTTTGCGCACTTAGAATTATCGACGATCGTGTGTCTTGCCTAGTGAAGTATGTTGGGAGTAGTGGTGTCGAGATTAGTGGTGACAAAGTTTGTGCACTCAATTAACCTATTTGTGCCACCCACCAGCAGTGCCAGCTCTGCTGTGTTCCAGTCTCAAGGATATAGAGAGGCAATATAATTTCAAGAGGTATTTTATCGTGTTCATCAAAGCCAGGTTTGAAATTTGCTGATGGTGTCCTCGATTGCAGTAGCCGTTCGTTCGTCATTTTAGTTTTATAAAAAAACCTACCTATGTCTAAAACTAAAACTAAGTTGAGCCGGCTAATCTTAAGTTAATAACATACAATATGATTAGCCATAACGCAAACATAACGTTTTTATACGTGGTAGAGCCACGCTGCAGCTATATTATGGTTGTAGCACGAACGAGTCGGCTCGACCGGGGAAGGAACACGCTCTCACAGAATACCAGCGTAAAATAACGGATATTCTGCTGTGTTTCGTATGGTGATTGTAGAGAACCGGAGACCCATTTTTACTGGAAATAAGGCATTCCATTTTAGTCCTCAGAGGACGAATAAGAATCGAATCGCATCTGCATTTCGATTCTTATTTGAGGTTAAATGTAGATGTCTATGGACCACAGCATCCGCTTATCATTAGGTGTACTGTGTGCTCGTTTGTCACCCTTATTCTATAAAAAAACTAACTCAACTTAAAAGGAAAACTAGCAGTGGATTAAAACTATTTTGTTTTCTATAGACTAGAAGAAATAGCTAAAGAACAGAACGCGACTCCGAATGCAGTCGAATCGTCAGTAATTTCAGCTAGACCTGACACAAACCGTGTTTTTGTATGGAATAGCTTTGGCGATGAAGTTATAGTTTCACAAGCTTGTGTGCACATGCAAACAAGAGTTAGTGGTGGAGATGTCGTAAGTGATGTTTATAATGTTTCTACGCAAATGACAAAAAATTCGATATAATTTAGCTAACTAGGTAATAACACTTTATCAGTTCTGAGTTATAAGAATTTATGACATAATTTCCAAGATACGTGTGATATGTGATGAAACTAATCAGTTTGACGGCTACTTTTTTTTTTTATAGAAGAGGGGGCAAACGAGCATGTGGCTCACCTGATGTTAAGTGACTACCGCCGCCCATGATCAACTGCAACACCAGGGGAATGGCAGACGCGTTGCCGGCCCTTTAGAAAGGAGTAAGCTCTTTTCTTGAAGGTCCCCAGGTCGTATCGGTCCGGAAAAATCGCTGGTGGTAAATTATTCCACAGAGAGGTTGTACGCGGAAGAAAACTCCTTTTGAAACGTACAGTGGTGGACCGCCAAGCATCCAGATGGTGTGAATGGTATCGGGACGTTTGCCGCGTAGTGCGTTCACGAAATTTGGCGGCTGGGATTAATCCGAACAATTCCTCAGAGCACTCTCCATGGTATATGCGAAAGAAAATGCAAAGGGATGCAACATCTCTTCGCAGTGCCAGAGAATCGAGCCGATCGGAAAGCACTCGGTCGTCGACGATTCGAGCCGCTCTGCGCTGGATGTGGTCAAGTGGAAGGAGCTGGTACTGGGGAGCCCCAGCCCAGAGATGGGAACAGTATTCCATGTGCGGCCGAACCTGCGCCTTGTAAAGTTGCAGGCGGTGTGCCGGCATGAAATACTGTCCCGCTCTGCTGAGCACGCCAAGCTTTTTAGAGGCCAATTTGGCCTTCCCTTCCAAGTGACCACGAAACTGCACGTCACTCGATATGTCGACGCCGAGGATTCCGATACTGGCTGAGGCAACAAGGGGAGTGCCTTGAAACTGAGGGGATACGACAAAGGGGTACTTTTTAGCGGTTAACGCGCAAACTTGTGTCTTGTGGGGGTTAAACTGGACTAGATTTAGTCGCCCCCAATCCGAGACTCTGTCCAGCAGAGACTCGACTTCAGACACAAGTTTGTCCCGGCACTCGGAGACGTTTTCCCGAGAAATATTGGCTCGGCCGGTGTAAAGAGCATCACCAGTGCTGTCATCTGCATAGCAATGAATGTTACGGGTCTGCAACATATCATTGATATGCAGAAGAAACAGCGTTGGCGATAGCACGCAGCCCTGTGGAACACCAGCATAAATAGGCTTGCAATCGGAGCTTGCACCGTCTACAACGACCTTGATGCTCCGATCTGCAAGAAAACTGGTGATCCAATCGCACAATTTCTCGGGAAGCCCATAGGAAGGGAGCTTCGAAAGAAGCGCTTTGTGCCAAACCCGATCGAAGGCCTTCGCAATGTCCAAACTAACGGCCAATGCCTCCCCCTTGGACTCTACTGCCTCCGCCCATCTGTGAGTTAGGTAGACCAGAAGATCACCAGCTGACCTACCACGGCGAAAACCGTATTGGCGGTCACTAATCAGCTGGTGATCCTCAAGGTACCTCATGAGCTGGCAGTTTACAATGGACTCCATTGTTTTGGAGAACAAGGAGGTGATGGCGATAGGCCGGTAGTTGGACGGGTCTGAGCGGTCGCCTTTTTTAGGGATCGGGTGGACGAAAGCCGTCTTCCATGATTTTGGGACTACGCCTAGGGAGTAGGAGTACCGGAAAAAACGCGTTAAAACCGGTGCCAACTCTGGAGCACACGTCCTCAGCACAATTGGGGGGGATTCCGTCAGGCCCACTCGACTTGTGGATGTCCAGGGAGAGGAGTGCTTTGCGAACCGAGCGCTGAGTGAACTGCACTTCCGGCATAGAGCACTCACACCGCGGGATGGTCGGCGGCGTACTCCCCCCGTCATAGAGAGTCGAGTTGGACGCAAAGAAAGAGCCTAGAAGATCGGCTTTCTCCTTTGCGGTGTGGGCCAGTGAGTCGTCCTCCCTGTGCAGAGATACGTGGCGCAATAGCTTAGCATTCAGTTACGACGGTGAAGGCCATGGATTTGAACACCGCGAATCTAAGTATTTGTTACAATGATAAAAACTGAATCAAAAAAATATTCGAAATGAATAACAGTTTTATTGCCGAACTGTTGATTGATTCTTCTGAATTAAAATGGATTCTTTAAAACATCATTGATGTCTGAGACTAGCAAAGAAAGACAGACAGAATTCTACGTACACTTAAAGTGATGCCTACACTAAGCCTAAACCATGCTCAACTTACAGTAAGAAAACGCACTCATGCATACATATTATGTATCTCAGACAACTTTCAATCAACAACATGGCTTAAAGTACATACGTGTGCTTCCTGCAGTGACTGATAAAGAAAGAAAGAAGAGAGATGTGGGTGTGAGTGCGTTTCAAGGAGTTAATGATGCCAGCATAAAAATGGTACGCAGCGCTATGTCTGTCTATCTTCGTTAGACTGAGATTGAGTTATACTTAATTAATCATTAACTTACCGTGTAGCGATAGTGTAAGAATATCCACTAGCTCCAATCATCTCGTGAGTGTCGTAAGCGGTGATAGAGATAAACAAATCAGGAGATGTGAAGCAGCGTCTTCTTAATAACGACTAAGGGTAAGTCCACACGGCGTGTGGCGTCATCGTTGCGTTGACATAGCGCCGTCACTGCGTCGTTTTACACAGTAATAACCACTGTGAACCATAGTGTACACACGGTGCGTTGCGACGACCCAACGAAACTCACTCTAAAAAAAAAAACTGCGGTTGCAATCCCGCTTGCCAAGCATGGCAACTATGGAAAATATACCTCTTGTGAGGCAATCTCTGGGGGATGCCGATGTTCAGCAGTGGACTTTAATAGGCTGTAATGGTAACGGCAATTATTTATTTAATGCAATTTTGTTTATTATCTACAGAGTCAACAGAAGGGCCCAGAAGATATCATGTTTATGATACCTGGCATTGAAGGATGCGCGTACACATTAGAACGGTTGTGTAAGAAACTGAACACAAGAGTCTGTGTACTTCAACCAGGCCTCGGTTATACAAATGACAGTCTGAGTGATATGGTCAATAGATTTTATAAGGTAATAATAATATTATAATTTCCATAAGTAACCGAATTAGCCCGGATAAGTAAACTGAATTGGCAATCGACCGGCCATATACCTCGAAGAACAAATAACTAATGAGGAAGAAAGGTTCTCAAGTGGCAGTCTCGTACCCGCAGACGAAGTGTAAAGACTAGATCGAATAACGACCTGGTGAGATATGCAGGAAGTCGATGGATGCAGGTGGCTCAGGACCGTGCATGGGATTCCTTGGGGGTGGCCTATGTTCAGCAGTAGACTTGTGAGGGGCTGTAATGATGATGCATCTCCACAAACTACATAGTATACAAACACACAGTACATAAATACATCCCATATAAGTAGTCTTCTTTCACATTCGACCCAAATATGCTCTCTTTATTATTTGATCCTCACCCATCCGTTCTATATGACCGAACCACCGGAGACGATATTCTTTTTTCTCCAGATAAATTATACTCTACTAATTATAATGCTGAATATTTTAATTTCAGACAATAAAGACCCACTTATCACGGGATGTGCCTTTTAAATTGCTTGGCTATAGTTTTGGCACAATACCTCTGTTACAATTAGTAGCAAAATTGGAAAAGGAAGGTAAGTGACAGAAAATCTTTAACAATAATTAAACTTAAAATAAAACAGACTACAAAATACTAAAAATTATAAAATTATTTTGACATAATATTGTAGCTTCTGAAATCTTTTAATTGTTTGATGTTTTGGCACCGCATTTAGAAATTATTATTAGAATATGTGGAAATGACGTTTTTTAAACTAGAAATGTATAATTTATAACGTATTCGAAATTGATGATCCTTCTGTATTAACTAGGCGAATCTTCAAGGGGAAGTCCCATATAAATTTGGGAAACAATTTACACCCCCAAGACACACGTCCTACCGCCGACCATGAACAAGAAGCGCTAGCAGCTACCTAGCAAGTAGAGCTAGAAACTAAATAAAAGTTGGCTAGCAGCAAGTAGCGAGTGTGTAGTTCGGATATTTTTGTCGCTGCGCTTTAAGCAAGTACACTCTAGAGTAGAATGACAGCTGGTTGGTTTCTTGGTGTGAGTTCTTACCGTAAACGTGCATCCATAACCGAGCTTTATCTTTAATAGCTCTTAATGATTTATTAAATTTACGCGAACACTACACATTAAATAAAACTATTATTTACGGATTTTATCGCGTAAATTAAAGTTGAATTAAACGCAATAAAATCCGTAAATAATAGTTTCATTCAATTTAATAGCTCCTGTCGCTGCAACAGATCAGTGAAGAGAGAGTTCTCACCAGCAGTGTGAACAGTCACCTATTAATATCTGTATCTTTTTTACTGACACGGAATCTACATCTATTGTTCGTCACTTGAGCATTAAAGTAGTCTATAGCTTCCTCGTCGGCGGTAGGACAAGTGGATGAAAAAAAGAGAAATTTTTAAATAAAATTTGTAATCTTGTGCTTGTGATCTCTAAATTATAAACAAATAGGGGATTTCGTGACAAAATTAATTTTGTACTTGGGTTTTAACATATTTGATAAATAAATAGGTATCAAAATCGGAAAAAAATACTTTTAACAAATTCAAATTATCTTACAGGTTACAAAGGCAACGTGTATTGTTTAGATGGTTCACCTGAATTCGCTAAAGCTATGCTAGACGAAGAAATGCCTTACTCCAACGAAACAGAATTGCACAATATTATAATATCATTCATACTAGGCGCTGTCAGTGATTTCGATTCTAATGAGACCAGTTTGTTACAAGAGAAGCTGCGTAATATTCCTTCTTTAGAAGAGAAAGTCAATTACGTAATCGATACATCAAAACAGACAATCAACTATTCTAAAAACTTTTTGAAATCTTTCGCTATTTCTTACTATCAGCGAGTGCTTATAGTTAAAAACTTAAATATTGCCAGTTTCGCTACAATAAAATCACCTATAGTCCTGTTACGTGCTAAAGATGGTCCACTTGCTAATCTGTGTAAAGATAATTATGGTTTAAGTAAGTGTACTGACAGTAGTGTTGAAGTGTATAGCTTCAAAGGAAATCATATAACTATTCTTGAAGATGAAGAATGTGCTTCATTTATCAACAAAAATATTCAAAGTTAATTTTTAATTATTAATCTTATTATGAATTAAATAAATGAACTATTTATGAAATAAACATTTATTAAATATACTGTAGTTTTTTTTTTAATTTCTTCCCAAAGTTACTTTTATTTAATTTGAAGTGTAAACAAAATCGCAGATGACCTGATTATGCAGGTACTGCAATTCTTGGGAACATGCAACAAACGTTAAATAAATAAAGCTACAGATGCGTCGTCAACTCTTACGACTAAGATGCAATGTATGACAGACCGCCTGTAATTTTAGTGGCTCTCTACATCTCTACTCTACTTCGGAGGGTGTAGTGGATGGACAGCCGAGTGAACTGTATTTTAATATTTATTTTTTTTTACTTTATTGTGAGAGAGAAGACTGATATAATTTAACTAACTGAGAAACTAACTGACTTTATTATTTACCAAGAAAGAAACTATTGCTCGGGACGTTAATTAATTAAAGATTGTACGACTAACGTAAGTTTATTTTACTACTTACTATAGGCTTTCCGAAAAATTGTGCTATTAGATCACCAGTTTTCTTGCATATCAGAACATCAAAGTCGTAGTAGAGAATGTATGCTCCGATTATATGCCGGTCCCCACAAGGCTGCGTGCTGTCACCAAACCAGTTTCTTCTGCATATCAATGATATGTTACAAACCGGTAACATTCGTTGCTATGCGGACGACAGCATTGGTGATACTTTATTCACCAGCCATGCTAATGTTTCTCGGTAAAACGTCGCCGAGTACTGGGACAAATTTGTGTCTGAAGTTGAGACTTTGTTGAACAAAGTCTGGGACTGGTAACATCTAAATCTAGTTCAGTTCCATCCCCAGAAAACATGAGTTTGCGCGCTTACCGCTCTAAAAGACTCTTTTGTCGTATCTCCTCCGTTTCAAGGCACTCTCCTTGTTACCTTAACCAGTATCGGAATCCTCGGCGTCGATGTATCGAGTGACGTTCAGTTTTATGATCACTTCAAAGAGCAGACTAAATTGATCGCTAAATAGCTTGGCGTGTTCAGCATAGTGGGATAGTATTTCATGCCGGTACACCGCCTGAAACTTTATAAGGCGCAGGTTCGGCCGCACATGGAATACTGTTCCCATCTCTGGGACTGAGGCTCCCCACAGCGAGCTACTTCCATTTGATCGCATACAGCATAGAGCCGTTCGAATCGTCGGCGCGTATTAAAATTAACAGTAATTAGCAGTAATTAACAGTATTAAAGTTGCGTAAGTCTCGCCGCATGAATTTGGAGATCTGTCTGTTCAGTTGCCTGTATGCTGTCAAATCTGTTGACGATTGCAGCCTCATCTCCCGGCTAACAGCCATGAGATTAAGAGTGTGATCGGAGAGTTTTTGTGTTCTTCTGCGGCGGGTCTTGCAGAACTTAGCTCCGACCGCATGGACAGTTTCCACGAGCTTGTCATTCATATCGTCCACTGCATTGCAATTCTCTAGGCACAGAAAGCGGTTTTGTAACTCGAGCTGAAAGGTTTCGGGATTATGGATTAGAGCACGAGGGGGACAGAGCGTTGACTTCATTAGACGAGACCTCTCCAACTTAACGTTTAGGTTCAGTGTGCCTCTAACCATTCGGTGATCGCTGCCAGTTTTCACCCTTGCGATCACTGAGAGATCACTGAACAGTTGGCATCTGGTCGTTGTAATGAAGTCAATCTCACTTTTTGTCGAACCGTCGGGGCTCGACCAGGTCAACTTCCTGTGGGGCCGCTTCTGGAAGAAAGAGTTCATCATAAAGAGTCCCTCTTTCTCCATAAAGTCGGCCAGCTGCTGGCCCCTTCGGTTCCGTTGCCCTACTTCAAATTTCCCCACCTTCAGCTGGAACACGTCTTTCGTGCGCAGCTTAAAGATTGCGTGCAGCGCATCAACGAAAACCTGCAGCAGTGGGCTCTAGAGGTGGAGAAGCTGGTGCGAAAAGCATACCGGTCTGTACCTGCGCTCATTGAAGGGAACCTGGTGCAGTCATTCATCGACGTCATCCGCGACCTGGAAGTCAGAGCTGCTGTGAGGCTCGGGCACCACGAGACGCTTAAGGACGCCTTGGCTCATGCACTGGAGGTGGAAGCCGTGCGGTAGGATCATCGTTCCCATCGCGTCAGGGAGGTTGCAGCAGCTACAGTTCACGACCGCAACAAAGGATTCGGCCCTAGGTGCTATGGGTGTGGGGGAAAGGCCATCTTCGATCCAGTGCCCTAGCGAACCGTAGAAAGGGAATCGAGAGGGTAGTGGCTAACGGCACCGCCTGGCGGTGGCAGGATCATCGTTCCCCTCACGCTAGGGAGGTTGCAGCAGTTACGGTTCGCGACCACAATAAAGGATACAGCCCTAGGTGCTATGGCTGTGGGGAAAGGGGCCATTTTCGATCCAGCTGCCCTAAGCGAACCCTAGAAAGGGAAGGTGAACGATCTCAGAATGGAAGTGCGGCTAACAGCACCACCCAGCAGCAGGAATACGACTTTGTGATTGAACACCGCAGCGGGAGATCGCATGGCAACGCAGAAGCATTGTTAAGGAGACCTTGCCCTGAAGATTGCAATCATTGTACTAGGCAGGATAGTAAGAAAGTGGTATCCGTGAGGATGCTCAGGACAGATCACCTCAGCAACGAGTGGAAGGATAGCCTACGACATGCACAGCAAGAAGATCCGGACATCAAGCCGATTCTGGAATGGATGAAGGCCCGTGCTACCAAGCCTAAATGGAGCGACGTCTCAGCGATGAGTTCAACCACGAAAAGCTATTGGGCCCAATGGGACAGCTTGCTGATTCAGGATGGAGTCCTGTGCCGTAAATGGGACAATGGTCGAGGAGACAGCTGTCGTTTGCAAATGGTTGTCCCTAAAGCTAAAGTGCCGAATGTTCTACAGCTGTGCCATATTGGTCGTTCAAGAGTCCATCTGGGAGTTAAACGAACTCTACTGAAGGTTCGAGAACAGTTTTACTGGGTCCATTATCGTGACGATGTCGAGGATTGGTGTCGTACATGTTACAAGTTGTGCGGCTGTGAGGGGACCTCGGACACGTAGTAGAGGAGCATCGAAATTGTACAATGTTTGTGCACCATGTGATAGCACAGCCCTTGACATTGCGGAGCCGTTACAGAAAGGCGCAAGAGCGACTCCTAAGATCGTCCATGTGGATCGCTTGGCGCGTTATTATGGGGCCGATAATGCTCGGGACGAGCATGTCTTAGGAGGGGGCAGTATTGCGCGAATAAGTCGACGTCATGTATCCGGCACTAGCGCCATCTAGTGTCAGGGACGAGAGCGAGGGGAGCTTTCCAGAAAATGACATCACTAATATTTCAACCGACAGCGCCATCTAGTCTCGGAACGAAGAACTAAGCTTCTAGAAGTCGACATTCGAACTCTAGGCCCCTTGCGCCTGTTTACTTGAATATTGTCGATGTTTCGGTGCTAATTTGTGTTTATAGGCACTGCAAGATGCGATCGGGGAAGTATTGAATGTGGCGAGACAAGCGAAGCTTCGGAGCGGAATAATGTGCATCAGTGTGATTAATTATTAGTGTTTTAAGTTTAATTAGTGTAAAGTGAATTAAAGTGTTAATTTAGGTAATTATATCGGCAATTTTTATTGTCACGAACCTCAAGCTCGTAACAATATTAAGATAATATTAATTAAAAACTGTAAGTTTTCCTGTTATAAATAAATAAATAAATAAACTAGCATTAACTCAGTGAATATAATTATAATTATCTGTTTAAATAAATTATTCAAATCAACATGAAAAAGCTAACGAAGCGCTAGCTCAGTCTCATTGATATTCATAAGATTATCGAGGTTAATCATCTTACGCCAACGAATTATGGTTGACCTTTTTAAATGTCTTTCACTTCCCAAATTATTCAATTACTCTTTTAAAGGATAGTTAAATCGTCTATCTATAGTGAATTTAACGTCAAAAAATCAATAATCTTCTCATTAGTAATGAAGTATTTGCAAAGGATTCTGTCTAAGACCTCAGAGGTGACAAAATAATACTGAGTCTTAATTGTCGATTGATGTTATATATATAGTGATAAACGTAGGTGGCTACATGGGCTTATGGTACAGACTGTGTACTTGTTTCTCATCCTAAAGGAGACAAATACTTTTTGTTTGGAGAATGGACCCACCACAAATTTTAGCAACACTTAATGAAATGCATGTCATTTATTCCTTATAACCTATATGTTACAATTGTAATATTAGTTTTTACCGCATCAAAAAAAAAACAAGTTGTTATAAGTTAAAAAAGTGCACTGTTAAATAATTAATGCTTTATATAACTAAGTATATTCAGCATTTATAGGTATTTCAAGATCGATGGAAAATCCTTTAGAAGTTCCCGAAAAACATAATGTACAGACAAACAAACGTGGTGTGGGGACTATTTTTTACAAGTAATGATTAACTAGTGAATATACATCCTAAAGACCATTACATTAATTAAAGAAATATGATTAAAACCAAGATGATAAAGGGATAATATGTCCATTTATAATATGACCCATACACACTTTGTAGTAAGAAAGATGTTTTAAACTTGTTGTGTAAACAAAAAAAAACGCATAGCAGTCTCCTAAAAGTAAAATAGACAGACAAACAGGCGCCATGTCAAGACTGTTTTAATATGTTTTGACTGATTAGTAAGTATACACCAGCATACACTGTAAATAACATTCAAATCATAATTATTTTATGATTTTAAATACTAATAAATAAATAGCAAATTAATGTTTTGAACCGGTTGTTTGCATAAAAAATGTATAATATCGCTGTATTTATTACAATTAAGACATTAATTACAAAGAAAAGTGTGGTATGGGAACTTTTTTGTACCTGTATGTATTGATTGATTTAAGTCTAATAATGTAAACAGTGATAAATATTAGGCAAGACATTTTAAAGCGATTTTGTAAGGATGAAGAAACACTATGTTTAAGGTCACTATGTTTCATTAGTTTATTA